TTCCAATCATGTTGCTTTGCTATGTGATTCTGGCAGATGCTGACCTGACGCTAAGGTTGAAAGCCCCTTGATGCATTACAATCAGGGTATGAGGCTACGGCCGTCCCACTTATAAGTTATAGCTTTTTCCAAGCTGTCACCTCTCAAATTCTCAAAGACTTTCCGACTTTGCTGAAACTGTCAGAATTCCAGGAAAGTACCAGATGTTACTTCCTGTCCACATAGCAAAACTGGAACTATGTCCCTTCTGCGTGTAAGAGTTGACTATCTGCCGGATCTCTTTGTTTGTAATTTTGTAATCTTAACTTAATTTAGATTTAATTAAAACAAAGAGTCCACAAATTAGAATGAACGGTTACAACATCTGTCATACCATGGGACCAACTTTTGAATACCTGTGTCGTAGAAGTCTGCCGCCTGGGACTGGAATCCCTGTGTGACAACCATCTCCGCCTCTCTGTCATTCTCAAAACGCTGACGCTGACCGGACAGGAATTTCTTGTGTAGGAAGAGATGGAAATCACTGGGAGCGAGGTCTGGGCTGTAGGGTGGATGATTGAACACCTCCCAGCTGAACTCCTGCAGGAGACTTGCTGTCCGTCGAGCCATGTGTGGCCTAGCGTTATCGTGCAGGAAGACAATACCGGCACTAAGCATCCCGCGCCGCTTGTTCTGAATGGCCCGTCGCAATTTCTGCAGTGTTTCACAGTAACCCTCAGCATTCACCGTTTCACCGGTGGTTAGGAAGTTGACGTGGAGAACGCCCAGTCTGTCCCTGAATACCGTGCACATCACTTTCCGCGCCGACGTCTGCTTGAATTTCGTCTTACAGGGAGATCCACTGTGATGCCAACGCATTGACCGCTGCTTGGTTTCTGGGGTAATGTGTGCAATCCACGTTTCATCACCTGTGATGATCCGGTCCAGAAACTCGTCGCCGTCATCATGGTACCGCTGCAGAAATGTCAATGCTGACTCCATGCGCTCTGTTTTGTCTTCTGGTATCAGTTGCTTCGGCACCCACCTGGCGCACAATTTCCTGAACAGGTGCTCCGTAACAATTTTGTGCAACAAGGAGCGGGAAATCTGCGGGACATGACTGCTGAGTTCCGTAATTGTGACGCGACGATTCTCCATAATGCGTTCCCGCACAGGCTCCACCAGGTCATCTGTAATGATGGACGGCCGCCCACTGCGCTTCTCATCGGGCACACTTTGTCGACCTGCTGAAAATTGTCTGCAACAGCGACGCACCATCTGCTAGCTCATGACGTTAGGCCCATAGACCCGGCACAGCTCACGATGAATTTCGATCGGCGCTATGCTCTGTGCATTCAAAAACTTTATCATTGACCGCACTTCACAGTCGGCAGGAGCTGAAATAAGAGTCCCCATCATTAACAGCTGCAACGATGCTACTGTGGGAACGCGGGAAATTCCGTTAGTCCATGCGCCATGCTACGCCATTGGTCTATCACGTAGATCACGTACGCGCAGTCGCTTCGCGCAATATAGAGGATATAGTGTGTGCTAGCTGTGGGACAAGTGGGAAACTTGCTTTGTGGACGTGCTACGTACTACAACATTCTGAATTATGTTTTTAGATACAAACATTTTTATTATGTGCCATAAAGCTTCATAAGCAGTATATCTTTTCAACTCTGAACACAAAAGCCTAAGTAATGAAGGATTATTTCTTTCAGAATGTCATCACACTAATACTGTTCTTTAACCGCATAAAAACATAAAATAAAAGAAGAAAAAATGTTTTATTCCATACCCAAATCTATTAAGCATCAATTCTTTTGGCCCTGCTAAAACTGTAGGTGTATAACTTTTTACCGATTTTTTTCAACAAATGGGAAAGAATATTATTAATTTAAATGGTGTGAAAATAACATTTTATAAGTGCGCCATGTCTATCTGTCAATCTGTCTGTGGCACGTTCCAACTCCTTTCAACCTGGTGTCGCAACTGGATAAAAGACTCTAAATAAAACTTGGTTATAACATAGCATTCTGGGTATTGTAATAAGGTGGGAATGATATGCAGTCATATGAACTTCTACATTTATACTGTTATATTTCTACAAGATTGAAAACAGTTTTTCAGACAAAAGTTATAGAAAATTGGGTAAACATTTCATGCTTCATATTTATTAGAAGAACACTATCTTCCCCTTCTTAAAAATCAGGAATATGTAACCATTCACATCCAGAGATTTGTTTAGAAATAAATTTTGAAGAACCTAATTTCACAAAATGCTAGCACATCTATTCCTCCTCCTAAAGAGCCCCCCCCCCAAGAAAAGAATGTATCTGGTATGCATTTCAAATAATCATAAGGCACTATGTAACAAGCATTCCAATGCAGGCTAAACATCCTCAATCTTACTCCCACCATTTTGAGATGAACTTACCGAATGCTATGATCAAATGTATAGCATTCCTGCTTTGTGTTTAAGAGACTGTGTTTTCGAACCTGGGCTTTGAATCCAGCTATTATACGATTTTTCATGGGTTTATGCAGTCCATCAAAGAAAATTCAGTGATGTAATCATTATTGTAAACGATTTTAATAAAATATAACAATGATACAATAAATGTTATAATTAATACACTTTAATAAAATTAAATGACATTATTTTCTGTGGAAAGACATGGCAGCTCATGCCAAAATACAAGTGAAAATTGGAAGCAGGAGGAAGTATACAGAAGGAGGTAGCTGCTATGAAGATGTGTGGACCAGCATCTATGTTCTAGCATTTCCTGATTTTATACTCTTACACAGATTAAATATAGTTTAATTATATCATTAAGTTTTGAACACCAGCACATAGGTGAAACTGCAATGAGGACTAACTCAGCATTTTCTTGGATTGGTCTAAATAATCCATGAAAGAACTGCACAATATCAAATCATAAAGGGTCTTGACTTTTAAGAGCATTCACTGGTTCAACCTCCCAGGAAAATAATTCATTTTATATCTTCAAAATGTATCTGCCTGTTGCCATCCCCCCTCATTTCTCCCTCTATTAATATTAAAACAGTTTAGGTACATAATTCTCAAAGAGTTCTGTAATTATAGGTGTTGTGAAAGTATGTCTATGAGTTATCAAATGATGCATCAAGGCCATTTGATGATTAATGCCATCTGTCAAACACTGGCATTAATGACATCCTCTGTAAGCACAGTATGTAAGACCACAACGTTTTCTCTCAGGTCTGCATGCAAACATTCATCAACAGGTTTTTATGTATAATACTATTAAAATGTTTACAGCTGCATGGGTTCAGTAAAAAAAAATTATTTTCATGAGATATGAGGCATTCTTTAAGTTGTTATCTTATTAAAAATAACAACAATAATGTTCATATCCTGATATCCCATTATGGGCATAAGCATATTTTTTTATCCACCAATCTGTTTTATAATGCTATCCATAGCTCACACTATATACTGTTAAATGGTAGGATGTTTAGTGAAGTGAAAAAGAGGTGGAAGGAAGTGGTCATGAGCTGATTTCCTGAAAAGTGCCTAGAGGGATAAGAAAAATCATGAAAAACACTGATTATGATAGCCAGCTTCAAATCTAAGATTTAAAACTGGGAACTCTCAAATACATAGCAAGCGTAAACCACTTTATTGTGATGTTTGGCCTATGGGCATAATAAAATAACACTTGTAAAATAATATTTTCATCAGTTACTGCACAAATAAACATGAACAATCTTACAATAGAACTAGTACAGTGACAGCTCTGATTATGATTCATCAATTCTGCTGACACCATTGTGCCAAAACAACCATGGCTGTCTAGAGACTTCTTATTGTTTCACATATTCAGTCCAATCAACTTCAGGGGTAATTTCTCAGAAACTGTCCCAAAAGGTGGTGAGATTATAAATGAAAGGAGAAATAAACTTAAAGAAAAAATCTTCATTTGTTGATGTTTCTAAACTCTCACTTGATGTGAAGACTCTGTGTTGCTGTTTTACTTCTGTCATATTTAGTAAAATGTATACAGTTTTATTGTGTATTTACTTCCGGATGACAATAACCACAGAAATAAAAACAGAATTTACACTTAGCATAGTTGTATTCCATTATTTATTGTTGAACAATTATCGAATGATAGTGTAATAACAAATGCCACATTCAAATATACAGTAAACTACATCACAGCCAGTGAACCCATCTCAGGCTTGTGGTTTTCATGGCAGTGATGATGGAGTTTACTATGATGCCATGTAGCATGTGAGTATTTCCCAAAGTTTCAAGGATGTATCTGGTTAACTATAGGGTTAGTCATGCAATTCATTTACAAACTGTTACATTTTTTGTAACATACACTACTGTAATATTGTTTGACCACAATTTATTGGAAACATGAAAACACTGCTTTGGCCAGGTGCCCCCCCCCCCACACGCAAATCCTTTACTAAACTTATTATCCAAGATTGTCAGAAATATTTTGTGACAAAACTGGGAATTATGTATGTGCAAAAATAAAATTTATTAACTTAAAATTAAATTAATATGTCAGTAAATCAACATAGACAAATGAGCGCTAGAAGTTCCTAAATACATACACATAAAACAACAGGAGTGTTTCCTTTGAACACTGTTCATTGTCTGGATATAGGAGTCTATGCAATATTTTCAAGGTTGGTTCTATCTGTATTTCAGGTAGAATAGAAGGTCATATATATCACTTTTGTCCAGAAAATAATTAAAGAAAATGCTTCTGTGACAATAGCAAAACCATTGTTACAGACCTTAAAGAAGAACTTGGATACTTAAAAACATATTTCGTGTAGTAAAATCATTAGCAATTCTGTAATATTCAGAGTACCATGGACACTTCATGCGGAGATTGGCACCTCTGAATTTTTCTACCCTTATCTCTTACCAACCACTCTACAACAGTGAATGTGTTAGATGGAACCTCTTGTAAATTACCAGAAAAACTATTCTAGTTAATGTAAAATCAACTCACCAGCAATGATCACCCGGGCGGTATGGCTGATCTGCCCTTCACCATTTCTGGCAATACATGTGTAATCGCCAATATCCTCATGCCGGATATTAGAGATGCGGAGCTCTGTGCCATCATTGAAAATGCCAATTGTAGCTGAGGGCTCCACTGGGTTCGCATCTTTATACCACAAGATCTCAGGTGTTGGTGTGCCTTCAGCTTGGCAATTTAGAATTATCGCATCACCCAAATTCACATAGATTACGTCTTCAGGTGTAACACTAAAGCGTGGGGGTGCTGTAAAGACACAAAATATTTAAGGAAAAACGTTGCAATATTATGACTATCTGAGCCTCTTCTGCACTTACCATATGATGCCATCTACCACCAAACTTGTCTCAAAATCTGAGTTTTTTACGCTGACCGATCACAGCCTGAACATGACATGAAGAATAATAAACGAAATTATCCTGTCAAAGAATTAAGATTTGCTGGATAAATGTAAATATCTGAAAAATGTGAAATGTTAGACTTTTTTAACTTTACTTGCACTATAATGGATGTATGCTGGTAAGCTATGTAACCATGTCAAAACACCATGCAAGTAAGTTACCATACTGCAAAGACGTACCAAATTTAATTACACTGCTGCCATTATAAGCCCCAGACTGGCACACAAAAATACACAGCTTACAATCAACAGAAGCAAGTATAACACAATTAGAGCATAGCTCTCTCTACGGAAAAAGAATCAGCCTTCTTGGTATTAAAGATATTATCCACATAACTGTAACAGAATTCGATATGACTTGTACACTACTGTGCAGTACTAAATTCGGCCAAGGCAACCGGCAAACTTGATTTTAACATATCATGGTTCACCTTACCTGGTTTTTCGTCTCAAACAACAGTAAATGCACTTGCACAAATATTAACTGCTAATTCATATATTGATGAAAAACACAAATATATTCCTTGAAGTGTCACTCTTATGAAAATTCTAGACATAAAGTCAAGGGTATATATTTTGTACGCTGTTTCCATAAAAGTAAAAAATAAAATTCATTCAAAACACAAAAGAGTGTCTAAAAGATTAAAAAAAATTAATAAAGACAATATATGCATTAAATAATTTGGATACTAGTGACTAAAATGCGGTTCTGGATTGGTGAATCGGTTTATTGGCGTTTCAATAGTCGTAACTATGATTAGTTACTACATTATTCCTGATTTACACAATTTACCATCACTCCACACTAATTTTCTTAGTCTATTTCCACGTGTCCTGGCAACGGATTTATAACACAGGAGCTATAAAAGTCTCACTAAATTACACACTCCCAATATCGATGTACTACAGCAAGTGTAATATCACATATAAAGTCTTCTAATTCTTCTTCTGGCCACACTGCTGTTCCCTTGGAACTTCGGAACTCAAGTGAAATCAATTCCTATCCCTGCATTCTTTTATATCCTCTTGGAATGGACCACACAGAAAACACAGACCCTATATTGTGGCATGGCGCAGACCACACAGAAAATATGTGTCACATGTCAGACTGTGAGTTCGTTGGTCCGTTACCAATACTGGCCGTGGCGTGGACAACATAGAAAACATTGTGCGTTGGATCGTGTTTACAGAACTTGTCTGGCAACGTGTAGATAAAATCAGTGAAATATTTTTGTTGCATTTGAGGTTCTCACAGCAGTGACTACGAAGGGTTACATCTCTTGGAATGTAATGTCTCATGGTACAGTAAAAATCAAAGGTGTTTCAGAGCAACGTATCCCCTCCATCTTCAGGGCCAAAATGTAAGCTAAGCTAGAAACAGGCAAAAAGCAATTAGCTGCTTCTTGTTGGTTTCTTGCTGGGCTTAATTTTCAACCCTGAAGAAGGAGGTAATATGTTGCTATGAAAGGTTGGTTGACTTTCATGGACTGTAGAAAAGATAAATCTTGAATACATTTTTGGCATTATAAAATTTATTTGGTCCTTGTCCCACCTATTCAGATAGTCATGAGCTGCCATTGGACTCATATACAACAAACTACCTCGATTGGGCAGAGTCCTTCTTGAAAAGCTAACAGCTGCTCTCCTAGCCAAGAAACTCCCTGCCTTTTATTGAACACAAACATTCATCACATGTTCATAGCCATCTGTCACTATTCCCTGTCTTTGGCTGGATGAATTCAGTCTCCACTCTTACAAACTATTTCTTTAAGTTATACTTTAATAATTTTATTCATTTGGGGAACACTATATTCTTGGAAATTAGATTTTCTAACAATGCAAAGGTAACTCTTAACTCTATCATTGTTAAAATATATCTTCATATAAAGTCTAGTTTCCAGTTGTTGGTGAAAATATCTTCTCCTTCTACCTTTGCACTGAAATCTCGTAACAAAATTTTGTGCAGTATTTAGCAAATTGACCGAATACATGCTTAGTCCCTCATAAAAGCTGTCAATTGTACCATTATTTTCATCCTCAGTAGAAACATGTACATTCAAGTACAATAATATCACACCAACTACCTATTCCTGCTACATAGGTTATCCTACAGCTAGAAAACTCTACCCTCTTAACCGTTGATGCTGCCCTGGCAACTTTAATGCAATTATGCCAAGATCATCTAATCAGGTTTTGACATGCAAAGGGATAAGTCAGTACCAGATTCCATTGCAAACAAAAATGGGATCAAAGGAACAGAAAAACAGACAACTGCTATGAAAGCCATTGCAAGCATTTAGCAATTTGAAGGTGGAAGCAAGGAAGGTGATGAAGGTTTAATATGACATGTCAGTCCTGTCATTTGTTGCATACTGTCATACAATGGTTGGTGTGTGGCTGTCCTGAATGATTTTTTTTGAGTCGGAGGTTTGTTGTATACCGCCATAAAACAAACCTACGCCCCAACAAAGACACTGTTGTATACCACAATACATCAAACCTCCACCCCAACAAGAACATTCAACACAGCCACACACCGAAGAAAAGATAAGACAACAAACCACCAAACCATAAGGCAAACACATCCATAGCAACCGCTGGTTAATGCACATGACCTAGAACTAGTCTGAGGCAACTATATAAGAAAAGCAGAACAGCATTACATTGAGTAGCAGAGTCTTTCATCACAACAGATTGTACACCTGAGGATGGCCGGTTAGGCCTAAACATGTAGTAACAATAATGGGAAGACCAGAGAATACTGGGGGCACGTGGTAGCATAGTTGGTTGAGGCACTATGCTACAAGCCGGAAGGTCGCGGGTACAAGTCCCAATGAGGTCACTGGATTTTTTTCAATTGACCTAATCCTTCCAGCCGCACTATGGCCCTGGGGTCGACTAAGCCTCTAACAGAAATGAGTGGCAGGAATATTCTTTGAATATTCTTGGGGGGTAAGGGGCGGCCAGCGTGTAGGGCTGACAACCTTGCCGTCATCTCTGAGCCAGTTGTCTAGAAAATGTGGGAACCTCAACATCTCACAACCCTAAGGGCCTCCACGGCCTCTTACAAGGATACCTTTACTTACTTACCAGAGAATATTGCCTGAAGTTGCACACAGACGGAAAAAATTGGAACACAAAGTTAGATGTATTCAGTGCAAGAGGATGCTGCAATTTAATATTATTCGACAGTATCTGTACAGTGTGGGATTATTCAGTAATGAAGGGTTCTTCATACTTTTTACTCTTCATAAAGAACTATTAGCATGATAAAATCAAGGAAGGTGAGATCAGCATTTACCACACAGGCAAGAAACAAGAAAACATATTAAAACAGAAAGAAGCGTGAATTTTTCTTACATTAAATAGGAACCTGCGATAGGCTCTTGTGAACATGATAAACCTTCAGGTTCCATAAAAGATGGAAAATTCTTCACTAGACGAGCGACTATCAGCATCTTGAGGAGAACACTGGTCCATGGAGGTAGTTATGTAATGAAATTATTCAGTACAATGCTGTCATTCTCTAATACTGAAAATTTTTCCATTTTTAATCTATACGTATGGTGAAACTGCACACATTGCATGTAAAAGAACTTTATGGTAAGACCAACAGTTTCAAGTACAAATTCTGGTATGAATCCTTAGTGACAAAATTTGTAATAAAAGAATTATGTGTTATAGACATGTTCCATAAATCCTCATGTCTGACAATGACTAATTTTGTAGTAACCCCTTATGTTTGAATACTTAGACGTGTGGGCACAATGAAAGCAGTTATCCCAGACTCTTGTTTTACTAACCTTGAAGTTGTTTTAATCCTAGGGCTATTTAAATACAACTGTCAAGCCATGCAACACACCATTCAAAGGAGTATACTGGGGATTAAAGCTCACAATGTTGCAAATGAAGCACCATTACAGTACAGGGATTCGGTTAGAAATTTGACAGAAATGTAAAAGCCATGGCCATTCCTAACTATCAAATGTAAGGGCAGCCACAACAGTACTAAAGTAACATATCAAGTTAAAAGCTATATTTAAATTACTTAGTAAGTGCATGTAAAATGTAGTACTACAATAATATAACAGGTACATCTCATCACACTATAATACAAGTGCACGGTTAACACAGATGCAAAGGTTTAAATTTAGGAATGAACTAATATCACTTACCATATTTTACTTAACTTCCAATTAGACAATAAGACCACAACAGAATAAGAGAAGAAAACTTCATCCAAGATTTTGTCATGGACAAATTCTATTTGTTTTGGTGTTGCTGAACTAGATGAAAGCTACATCTGGAACTGTTCCACACTGCCTTCAGTATACTCTCTTTGGCGAATAGAAATGTGTAAGAATTCTCACTCCACCTCTCAACTTCATCACAATCAGAAAACAAATCCAGATCAAGTGTCCCTGTTGGATGCTGTTTAAACATTCAAGAAGAGATGATTAACCAAGCCTGATAACCAAAGGCAGGTGGGAGAGTAGCAGAGAAGTTAAAAAGACCTTGAGAGAATTACAGAGCTAGACACAATAAGGCAGGTACACAATGGGAGGGGGGGGGGACACAATATCACCATCAAGAGTACTCACCATGGACATCCAAGTGGAACCAGGTACCATTCTTTTGGGGTGGTGACCTATTGAGGAACGCCACTTTACATTCGTACCATCCCTGGTCCGACTCACGGATGTTGGTCAGGTTGAGAGAAGCAAGACCATAGGGGGAGTCCGGTGACACTCTGGACACACGGCCCTCGTACCCCTCACCGTTATGTGGGGGGTATGTGTCGTACCAGATGTATATTGGAATCTCCAAACCCTATAGAGATCATCAC